GTAGACTATTTGTACTGCACAATGGAATTCTTTTATTTTTTATAGATGCGATCTATAAAAAATAAAAGAACATAAACTTATAATATGCTAACCATTTAAACTATTTTAAGAATATTCTTAAGTATAATTATGCCAGAAATGAATAAGAATAGTCGTATAACATTTTGTTAATAAATGCAAACACACGCGTATACATTTTTACATCATACGTATCTATACATAGGGAAAAGCGAGGAAAGTTGACATGGGTAGGAGAGTAGACGAGAGTTTCTATTTTCAAGTTTTAAGCAGGTATTAGTAGGCAATGAACAATGAAGAAGAACGATCAAGTACTTAAATTAGTTTCGAAATCTGCTCAGTTTTGTGTAGTTTAGAAAGGGGTTATTTTGATAACTAACATTTTTAACTATCTGAATTTTTATGAAGTCAACGTAATACTTTTATTTTTAATAAGAGTATTTATAAAACAAATAATATTAAAATTGTCGATGATAATTGAAGTTAAGATCATAGTCATGTTGTATAATAAATTTTGTATTGTTCCACCATGTTTGTATGGAAAAATCAATGTGCTTCATCTCTCCTTTCTATTTAGGAGAGATGACTTATTATGAAGAGAGGGAAGATAACGCTGATTTCATATAGGCCCATGTTTTAATATAAGGAGAGTACAATGAAAGAAAGAAAGAAAAAAAACTAATTTTTATGTTTTAGACATGCTATCATTTATGGATAAATATTGAATATTTTTTTCGTTTAGATTAAGAATTAAAATGTATTTATTTTCTGTCGGCTTATTATTGTCTTTTTTCTGTGTAATACCTACAATACTGATGGAAAAAATGTTTCTTTTAACACATCGTATACGTTTCTAACTTGTTACCCGCATTGATCCTTCATGCGGTAACTCTCATACCCACAGTGCGTCATCTTACCAACCCTAGTAGGAGAGATGGCAAAAAAGAGTACCACATAGGTATTTGTTATAATTAATTTCTATTATCATGGTTTTAAAAAATAACACTTTTTCTAAAGAGATTAACAATTATAGAATGTACCATTACAATTCATTCTTTAATGTGTCCCATATTGAATACAGAACGATTTTCCGAAATCTTCGTCCTCTTCCCTGGCTCTACCTTAGATCGATTGTACACATGTTCATGTGATGCATATATATATGTATGCACACATATACACTTTATACACTGTATACACGGCCACTCCTGGTTTATTGACCGCCCAGGTGCAAAAACAATATCGCGGCATTTATTATTATTGTTTAATTAAAACTTGCTATGCAGTGTTTACTTTTATAACTATATTTTGTTTGTCTAAAAGGTTAATAATCATAAAAAAGTTTTGATTATTATTCTTATCAGATAAAATTTTAATATAATAAACGATCCACGTCCGTCCCTAGGTTTGACGCTCAGGTATGTGGCTCTTTCTACTCCCGCCAGGAACGGCCCTGATTATATATATATATGTATGTGTGTGTGCGCGTGAACAGGAATAATGAAAACAAGGCAAAATATAGGAATATAGGTACGAGCCAATAACCGACAAAAACAAAAAAAAAAAAAAAAACTGCTTCGTTTCTTAACTCAAAAATATTTGAATATTTATGAGGACCTTTTATTAACACGTACAAGTCATTTGTATTGAGGATGATCCGATAAATCATATTGGTCTGCAATTTGAAATAATTGTAGACCTATAAACGGCCGCTGTCATTCATTTGTCTGCCTGTCTGTCTTTCCTTAATCTCGGGAACAGAGTTAGACAGATAAAAGACGAGATAGACATGCAAACTTTAGGGGCAGAAGGCTCCGATTAACTATATACAAACATCTGAAGCAAACCGAAAATCATGTTATTTCAATTCAAAAATTTTTCCCGAAAGGTGGTAGATGACCGTCACAACTCTATTGTTAAAGGAAAAGTATGATGTACAGGGACAAGACACTACAATACTAATTTGAGGTGTAGAGCATATATTTTAAATTAAATAAATTAAAAATATGATTAAAAATTGCAGCCCGGCATTGTGACCATGCCACAATAAATGTTTGTTCTTATATCGATTTTTATTAGTCGCTTAAATCATAAAAGATATATAAATGCATGAATATCGAACACATTTCCCACTCCTGAAAATGGCTAACAAATTGCCGTCGAAACTCGACATTCGAACTTTCACCGCTTAAACCATTAAACCGACCTACGTTTACCCTTTCATTAATAACAACCGTTTCACTTTTCTTTTACGTTACTTCTGCCCACGTCGTTGTTGATGAATTAATAGTTAATCAACGTACAAGTTTATACGTTTTGTCGTAATTTTTATGTTCCATTTAAAGTGTACCGTCCAATCTGTTTGCTATTTAGAATTCAATTAAAATGAGATTTTTACAGCCGAAAAGATAAATAATATAATGTATATATACCCCGTATTTTAATTACATACTATCTCCGATAGAATAATATATACCGATATTGGGAACATCACTATTAAAAAACTGTTCTTTCTTGTGATACNATTATATAATAATAACAATAATACATATGTAAGCAAATTAACAATAGCAAATTTCCTATTGTCACGCTCATATTAATGTAATGCTGCAGACTTATCAAATATTCATAATTAGTATTTGTTAGAATGAACTTCGTTGTTCGAATGTTTATTTATAATGAAAAATTTACAAAGATGTATTATTGTTGAAATTGTTATCCGAATTTCATTTCATTTATAAATTACTTAACATACTCATATTAAAATAGCAGAATATTGATTTCTTTTTTATTTATTAATACGAGAATAACCTTATAGTATTCAGTAGCATAACGAGAACTGATATTAGGGAGTTAGAACGTGCAAAAACATTTCCCCCGTACCACAAGTACTGCAGATGGAAAATAAATTCATGTTGTATATAAATGTGTAAAGTGCGTTTGTTATGTTTAAATCTTTTTCCTGTACTTATTTGATTTTCTAAATTTATTTATTTACAGAGGTAAGAAGAGCCTGGACACCTCTCTATTGCTAATATTGTCATAATTATATTAAAATACAAATCATTTAAATAAGATCCATATAACTGATTCTTTTTATATTTAAACAAAATTTACTTTTCTCATTAACTTCAATTTATATTAATATAATGGAATTACTGCATATTTTTCATTAAGAATTATATATATATATATATATATATATACAGTAGAGCATCGATTATCCGACCCCCGATTAACCGTCACATCGGTTAACCGACCGTTCTAGTCGGCAAATTTCAAATGTCCGCTAGTGATGTGGCACTACAATATTTGGCTATGTCTTGGCTACTTTAATATTATTTTTGTTAAATTTTTGCGTGTTTTAGCTGGCATCAACGGCTCGACCATTGAAGGGAGGCCAGTATTTAAACGAGACTTAATTTTCTAATTATGAGTGGTTGTTTGTTTTGTGAGCAATAAAATAATTTAAAAATAATTTTTAACAATACAATAGCGATTGTTATTTTTTAAAAAAATTTGTTAGGCTTAACATCGATGAAAATTCAACGCAAAGTTGGTTAATAGCGATATACTAATATACTAATTACATGAGATATACTAATATACTATACTAATAATGTATGTTTTTCATTCTTTTCGGTTATCCGACCAACCTGAGTCCCCAATTGAGTCGGATAATCGATGCTCTACTATATATATATATATATATAATCTATATATATAAAAATGAATGTATGTCTGTGTGTCTGTCCTTCATGCATTACCACACTGTTTATCGATTGCCATGAAGCTTTGGGAAGTATTTAATACATTCCCGCGAAGGTTTCTGGCATAGTACATTTATCCTAAGATAGATGGCGCGAGTGTATACGAGCATTTCACTGTGTGTTCGATGATTTGAAATTGTGAAGACCATTTCCCCCCCTCCAAAAAATATCTCTATATATGCATTTGTGAACTGTCATTTACGATATTTGTAATAATTTTTGTTTAATCACTTTATTTCAACTTTTTTTTTGCTAATTATGTATTCGCTCGAACTTTGTTAAAACCTTAACTGTATCCCGAACAACAACCGAAGTTGTAGGACCTGCCTATTTTACCGATGTAGGGATTCCCCCTTTTCCAAATTTTAATATCAACTCAAAATAATTTAAAAAGACAAATTACAATAAAACGGTTTATTATCCAACTATCAGAAATTTCACAACATGCCAAGGAAGAGAGGAAGGAGCAATTAAATAATTAAAATTATAAAGGATTATAAAAATATATATAAAAATGGGGAATATCGCACTTCTGACAATCGCTGCAAGTGTGTGGGCTAAATTTGGAGAATCCGTGCTTCTCGCATGGACAACTGTATGTGGCCGGCTCACGCGTCGAAAAACCTTCCGATTTATTCGTGTACACACCAGAGGGAAAAACAAAAAATATCGTGTATCCACAAACACTCCAATAAATAAATAGAATTGAAACGACACTTTGAAATGTTTTCCCGATGAAAATGAATAATAATAATAAGTTTCAATAAAAATGATAAAATGTAAATTGAATTTTATCATAACGAGTTTGCTTGAATTTCCTTTCTTCTGAGAACGCAGCAATGCGCGACGGGGAAGCTAGTTATATATATATATATATATACCTAATATTTTATAAAATTTCCTTCCATTTTTTAATTTTAAATTGATTCATGTTGATTTAAATATTATTATAACTTTAAATACAGTATATTTAAATGTAAGAGGTATTGATTATATTTAAAATTGTTTTATTGGTTTTGAAGTGTATAGGGAATAGACTGACGGACAGACATTGTACTTTATATATAGAGAGTATTCTATAAATTAGTATTGTAATAAATACTGATATACTTTATAGAAAACTTAATAAATCAAAACTTTTATACGAGAATGAACAACAGCACATTATTTTTACTTTAACAAACTATTAATATTTTTAATTAAAACTTAATTTATCATTAATAATAATAATTTTAAGAAAAGTTTTGAAATTAGGCAAGACGTAAGACTCAACGACAAGAACAAGAGAAAAAGCTCAGCGAAATGAGAAAAAAGCAAGAGGAACAGAGAATAAGAGAAATGGTAATAATATTTTTACTTTAATCAATTCCTACGTACAAAATGAATTACTGAAAATTTATTTTTATTTTTTTATGTTTTAATAGGAAGAAAAAAAAGCCAAAGAAGAGGAAGCCAAGAAGAAAAGATTGGAAGAGGCAGAAAGAAAGCGTCAGGCTATGCAACAAGCTTTGCAAAAAAGAAAAGATGAGCCAGTTCAGCGTAATTTTGTCATCCAAAAAAGAGATGATGGAGGAATTACTCTGGGCTCAGGATTCGATAAGGTAAAAGTCTTTCTTTACACTCATTGAAATATATATATTTTCGAGAAATTTATAAAAATAAATAATTATTAGGTTATGATCCGAGGTGAGATGACTAAAACTAGAGAACAGCTGGAAGAAGATAAGAAATTAGCTCTGAGTGTAAGAGTTAAGCCTTTGAATATCGAGGCTCTAAGCGTTCTGGAATTGAGACAAAAGGCTCAAGAACTGTGGGAGAAATTAGTAACACTAGAAAGTGAAAAGTACGATCTGGAAGAGAGAAAGAAAAGACAGGATTACGATGTAAGTTTCAAAAATAATTGATAATAGAATTTGTATAAAGGCTAAAATGTTCTACCATTTTCAGTTGAAAGAACTTTCGGAACGTCAAAGACAAATCAACCGAAACAAAGCTCTTAAAAAAGGTTTAGATCCAGAGTGAGTGAACTTCATTTTTATTGTTTTGTTTTCTTTTATTTATAAATTAGACCTAAAATGTCTAATAAAATTTTTTAGTTATTGCAATTAAATAAATTCTTTTGATTTTGAAACTTTATAACTTTTTTTAAAATATTTTTTATCCTGTTTTCTCGTGAAATAAAAGGGCATTTTGAGTAATGAAACTGTAAAAGTCATATTGGCTGATTTGTTTTTCGTTCAGTTTACGTTGTTTTATTAATTGAGAAGTTTTTTATAATGATAGGCTAATAACAACCACCAATGGTTTTTTTCTTCTCATAACTTAATGACAGTATCTTATGAATTTGATCAAAGTTATGCAAATATTACTTTTATAAAAATATCTACAGCTGAAAATATTTATATAAATAAAAACATCATCTCCTATTTTAATAAAAATCAATAATGATAAATACAAATATCCATAAGATTGGATTGATGGAAGAAGGCAAGTCAACACATAGGCGCTCTTCCAGGAGAGCGCTTTTGAGAAATACTTTCTATGGGAAATTAATCTTTATTCATTGTTAGACATGTGAAGAAAAACAAAAAAACATGCGTCTAGCCTTTTGAGGTAATGTAAATCGACGACTAATTACCAGTTTTCAGTAGTTTTATTCACTCAGACACGTGGGTCTATGGTTAAATGACATGAAAAGAAATTAAGTTTTAACTTATTTACAAAAAGATGATTACACAGAGCTATTAAATTTGATAAATTAATCAAGCCTGTTAAAGAATTGGAATCTCTTTGTAATTCTTAAAAAAAACAATTGATTTAAAAATTTTCAATACTTCCAATTCATGTCAAAGTTTAATAGCTTATTCTTTTGGATATCAAATTAACATCAGCTTTTTTGAAGATAAAACATAACGTTCATATGCATCAAAAATTTACTTCATATAACATGACATACATAACATAACATGAAATACACTTAATGAAAATACTGTATTAAAAGTTTAATTACATATATGCAAATATATTTAATTTTACAATAAAGTATCATTAATGTTGAATTAAAAAATATTATTTATTTATTATGAAAAAATTAATTTGGTCAAATTTATCAATTTTCAGAGGAATTAAAAAGACATTTTAATAATAGTTTTTACGTTTAATTGTTTATTATTAAGTAACTTTTTCTTATTATGATTTACCAATATTTGTTATAATTAGTACTATATTTGCTTTCATTAATAACTGATTTTTCACTTAATTTAATAAATATAATCGTTATAATAAAATTCTGAAGGACAATACTAAAATGTGATTACAAATTATCCCTCGGTACTAACATAACAACAAATACTTCAATTTTCGTTTAATACTTATACGTTTAAAGCGATAAAAAGATCTTGAAGTAGCCCATATCAATTATCTACTAATAATGTTCGAGTTCAATCGTAAGTCTATATATTCTCATGGAGAAAGACAAAAATTTTATGGGTTCAGTGGTGAGTTATTCAAGCCACTTGAGATCTTGATTGAATATATATTGGAAATCAGATGGGAGCATTGTAGAGGGGCAATTTTTGTAGATGTGTTCCGATGTTTGAAGTTTGTAAAAATAAAAAAATAAATGCAAGAATTAGTGAACCTCCCTCAACATCTGGCCATACGCGAGTAGTGAAGTGATTATTGGCCATATGCAGATTTCTAACACTAACTTGAAAGTGGTAAAGAATCGCTGTGTCAATTTTCCTTAAATATAAAGGTTTTCAATAATTCTTCCGATAAATTTTGAAAAAATGTTTTTCAAAAAAGCTAGAAAATTTTCAGGGATTTTGATAATCCTTCTCGTTCAAATGTTTATAAATTGTCACGGTACAGATAAAAGGCAAAGAAATTTATTAAAACGTGATTTTTAAACATAATTTTATATGTTCTGCCAATAATAAATTTAATGCAAAATTTTAATTAAATTAAAATATAATAATTTAGTAATTATATTTATTTTTTGATCTACAAACATAGAGGCCTTATTTAACAATTTCAATACGATTTTCACACCTTAACAGTATTTTAGTATCGTTAAAGTATTTTAGTATCGATAAATGTAATTCAGTTAAAATGATTTATTATAACAAACCATATAAATTTTTTAACAATGTACTAGTTTCCTTAAAAGATAAAATATTAATTTAATGAAATTTTTAAGAATATTGAAGAGTAGAAGGGGGAAAATTCTTGACCTATTCGTTCCCTTTTGTAAATTTTAAAAGTTTCAATTCGTTTATATTCTTATACAGTATATAACTGTGTTATATTTTTCAGTAAAAGGTTTCTCTTCGACTTTCTTTTATCTAACTATTTTATAAAAGAATTCTTGATTAAACATTGAAATGTAATATAGATATATCTATTAATGATATAACAATTCTAAAATATTCAATATTTTGTATTGGAAAATGATACTCCGTAGACAAGAAAAATCAAATGAAGAAACATTGTCACAATACCTGACTAAATTTTTAATCATATTTTTAATTTATTTAATTCAAAATACATGCTTTCCATCTCAAATTAGTGATGTCTTGCCCCTGTACATCATACTTTTCCTGTTAGCAATAGAGTCGTGCAGGTCATCTATCCAACTTCGTTCAGGGGATAATTTTTAAATTGAAATAACGTGACTTCCGAACATTCTGATGCAAACAAGAATAATTAATCGGGTGGTTAATAATATATAGTTAATCGGGGCCTCCTACTCCACAGCTTTCCATGCCTTGTCTCGTCTTTGATTTATCCAACTTCATTCTCGAGATTAAGGAAGGGCAAACAGACAGAAAGACGGATAATAGTGGGAATTTATAGGTCTACAATTTTTTTCAAATTGCAGTCCAATGAATCTATTGGTAACTTTAAGAAAAAATCTCAACAAGTAAAATAAGATTAGGTTCTATTTGGGTAATCTGCCAAAAGGTACCTCTGGGGATGACTTTCTATGAGAAATCGGCCTTTAATTAGGTTTTAGTCGTGAAGAAAATCCGGAAAACTCCACCCGGCCAGCTCATTGGAAACCATTCAGTAATTAAGTGTACGTTACACTTTTCGAACCAATTTTGATCTCCCTTATTTCTTTTCCTGTTGTGTACGTGTACAGTGATGTAGGCCTACTTTTGACAAACTACCTCTCCTTTAATTACGCGTTCAATACAATTCGTGGAACCTTAACGTTGACTTTAAAAAATTTGGCAAATATTTTGTAACTGACAGTTTGTACATTTAATAAGTAAGTAGTTTATAAAAATAAAGTCGTATGCTACTAAGAATTTACGTAAACAATTTCTCGACTCCCTCCTCCCTTCCGCCCTCAAACTAGACACGTAATTAATAGACGTTAGACACAAATTCAAAATTTTTTATTTATTTTATTTAAACTTTGTGTTATACTGAGTGATGATGTAATTATATATAGTGCTAAAAGATGAAATTTATTGTATGTTTTTGTGACAAATAAACAGAATTAATTACAAATTTAACAAAATTAATTACAGTTAAACTTCTAATAACGACCACTATAAAAAAAACGTTAAGAATGGTCGTTGTTTAGAGGTGGCCATTATTGGAGATTCGACTGTATTTATTTTGAAAGAAAGAGTAAAGATTAGACTATTTGCTTGAAAGAAATTTGGAATTAATTTTGGATATAATTAGGGTTTCTCATTATTTTTCATTTTTTAAAGTAATTTAATACGTTCTGCAACCTCTAAAATCACATTAATAATGCTGTATAAGATATACATTAAAAATTATCTTTGAATTACGTAGAAATTTTCACAAATAGAAAAAATTTATTAAAGTTTGTTGGAAACTGCATACAACAACAACAACAAAAAAAAGTGCTTTGAATTGAGTTGAAAATTAAAAAATAAAACTTAGATCAAACTACTAACTTAAAATGTAAATATTGTTTGTTAAATAAAACATAATACAAAATATTATTGTAAATTTTTATAATAAGATTTAAAAAAGCAAAGATGGTCAATACTCCGATCACTAAATCTAATTCTTATTTTAGTAATGAAAAGTCCTGCTACCGAGAATGCCCTTTCCGATTTAATTGATGTGAGTGGAATCGTGTTTAATGCATTTAAGAGAAGAAAGATGTTATGTGTTTTTTTTACTTGTAGCCTGGAAGATTTCTAGTTCGTTTTCTAGATTGTATACTTCTTATGCTCTCTATTATTCTTGATTTTTCTATCTCGGCTGCTTTAATAGAAACATCAAGCTTATAGTCCGATAATTCGACAGTTCGTTTGTCTTTAATAATCAAGTTTATGAAGAAAAACTTCATACTTGCAGACTTCGTACTCGTTTGTATCCTTGCCCAATTTGCACAACCTGGCGTTACGCAGTTATCGAAGCTACTGGGAATGGTTAAAAATTAAGACAGCATATGCACAATTATTCCCGATATTACAGGTTTCGACAAGTAAAGAATTTTCAGAGTCCTGCCACAAATAAGCTACATATTGATTATTGACCTTTGTGACATGCCATAACAAGCAAAAATTTTAAAAATCTAATAAGTAGGTTTAAAATTAATGAATGCAAGTGTATTCTGTCAGTTTAATTATATTTTCTATTTGCAAAATTTCCTAAACCTTAACACAAAATAAGAAAAAAGTGAACTTTTAAGAAATTTGCGGGATTTCCCAGGTTAAAAAAACAACCGGATCTCGGGATCTCGTTTGAGAAACCCTAGTCTCATGAATGGCGCATTTGTTAATTAAAACCTGATGTAAAACACCTGCATTAATTAATACACTAGTGTTGGGTATTGCATAGAATTAATTTATTTCTACTTATTACTTATTGTGACATCATCACAATGCCAGGCAACGATTCTTAATCATATTTCTATAAAAAAAAATTACGTGACTTCCGGTCCGGATCGGAAGTTCGTATATAGTTACAGCTTATGTAGAGCGACCTCCTGTATGTACACTTAGCACCATCTGTTGAGGAATAAAACAAGTAAATATATATTCTTTTGTACCACTTAGTGATAAGTTCACTTATTTTTCCCTTGACAATTCTTGCATTTTACAATTGTCTGGAAAAATTTCTAAGTTTTCTGGCCATGGGCATGTAGATTTATCGTGTATTTTACAACTCCATTTGCCTAGAATATTAAGAGACCTCAGACTTGTGTCCTATCCATAACCTAACCCTTTCCTGTTCCACCAAATAATAATAAATTTAAAAGCACGAGATTTAGATTAAGAAGAACAGTAGCTTACTTAGATTAGGAAGAAATTCGGGCCTAAAGACTCGAAACGATTTTTTACATGTAAAATGAATAAGATACTAAGCGTGACTGTATTAAATTGTGTTTAATAATTATCCAAATATTTATTTAAATTATATTGTGATACGAAAAAGCCCTGTAAAGTTCTATAACTTAGGGCCTCCCTGAATAAAATTAAATACATTAAATGAAAATTTACAGATAAATGCAAGTACAATGCGATTGTTAAAGACTTGATTGTTCTTCAAGGTGTTCTTCACCGTTTTCTTCGTTTAATTCTTTGCTTTACGAATTAAAAAATAGAAAAATTAGCATTAAAAAAAATAATTTACTTTCTTGTCAATATTACAGAAAATTAAATATTTATTAATTTATACACTATAATTCATGAAATTTATAACGTTTCTGTAGTTGGGAAAGAAATTAATTGATTTGATTCATTTTTAGTATATGAAATTTAAGTTTAATATCAATTAATAACTTGGACTAGAGTTTTAAATAAGGTGTGATCTGATCCCGTGTATATTGATGTATTGTATACACTCAAAACAAAAAATATTGTTTTGCGTGTAAAATGAAATGTATTAATTAATCAGACAGAATATAAAACTAAACTATACTCTTAAGAACGCATCTAGAACTAGAGAAGAGTCGCGTGAAATTATCTAAAACTGAAGAAGACTGGTAATACAGCTAGAAAATACTCTCAAGAGAGCATCTAAAACTGAAGAAGACTGAAAATAGAGCTAGAAAATACTCTCAAGAGAGCATCTAAAACTGATGAAGACTGAAAATAAAGCTAGAAAATACTCTCAAGAGCGCATCTAAAACAGAAGAAGACTGGTAATAGAGCTAGAAAATAGTCTCAAGTGAGCATCTAAAACTGAAGAAGACTGNCATTTAAGAGAAGAAAGATGTTATGTGTTTTTTTACTTGTAGCCTGGAAGATTTCTAGTTCGTTTTCTAGATTGTATACTTCTTATGCTCTCTATTATTCTTGATTTTTCTATCTCGGCTGCTTTAATAGAAACATCAAGCTTATAGTCCGATAATTCGACAGTTCGTTTGTCTTTAATAATCAAGTTTATGAAGAAAAACTTCATACTTGCAGACTTCGTACTCGTTTGTATCCTTGCCCAATTTGCACAACCTGGCGTTACGCAGTTATCGAAGCTACTGGGAATGGTTAAAAATTAAGACAGCATATGCACAATTATTCCCGATATTACAGGTTTCGACAAGTAAAGAATTTTCAGAGTCCTGCCACAAATAAGCTACATATTGATTATTGACCTTTGTGACATGCCATAACAAGCAAAAATTTTAAAAATCTAATAAGTAGGTTTAAAATTAATGAATGCAAGTGTATTCTGTCAGTTTAATTATATTTTCTATTTGCAAAATTTCCTAAACCTTAACACAAAATAAGAAAAAAGTGAACTTTTAAGAAATTTGCGGGATTTCCCAGGTTAAAAAAACAACCGGATCTCGGGATCTCGTTTGAGAAACCCTAGATATAATTATCAAAAATTTAATTATAATTTTAATACTAAATAAATAAATTGTTAGAATAAAGATTTGTTTTATTTATATAAATACAAATTATATAAATATATAGTTTTTACTAATAAATTAAGTTTACATATAATAATAAATCTGCTTACCAACAGATGGAGTTGGCATTCGGAATTTTAATTGTTAACTTGAAATATATACAGTCGAATCTCTAATAATGACCACCTCTAAACGGCGACCACTTTTTTAGGAAATTTTTAAACAAATATGCATACAAAATAACCTCCGAATCAGTGGTCATTTGGTCATTGTTCAGAGATTTGACTGCATTTACATATTTTTAAATATTATTTAATATTAACCAATATATTGATGATAATTTTTCTGTGATTCTGATCGATTATATTTAAATTATTTCCAGCGCATTGCAAGGAAAATATCCGGTAAATATTAAAAACATAACTTAATTTGTTATAAATTCGTTTTCTATTATTTTATTTATATTAAAAAATTATTTTTTAGCCGAAAATTCAAGTAGCCAGCAAATACGAACGCCGAATCGACAGAAGAACTTTTTCTGATAAAAAAGGATTGTTTGAAGGCGTAAGTATATTTGATTTTAATTAAAATAAAATTAGAATTTAATTTACATTTGAATAAAAATTTCTTTAATTTAAAAATACTTCGTTTAATTACACATAGGCCTATATCTTTTCTATGTAATTAATTAAACAACAAATAATTAGATATAGTTATACAACCGGATGGCAGGCAGTTAAAATGTAAGACTGTGTCAAAGAGACTCTTCTTACGTTACGTTACGTCTAGCCAATAAAAGAAGACGTTGTTTGTAACGCCTTAAACAATGTCTTATTTCATTGGCCAGACGTAACGTAACGTAAGAAAAGACTGTCTAAAAGCAGCCTAAGCATACGGCTCTGGGGGACCGGTGAACGATTCCGGACGAGAAATCCCAATTTTTTATGAGCGACCTGTTCCGGATATGTCGGGTTTCATCTCCATCACCCGACCTATCCATCATTGGCCAAATCCATGATGGGCTTAAAAAAGGGTTTTTTTAGCGCCCGCGGGGCAGGAGGAGACAAAAAAAAACAAAAAGCAAAAAGGAAATTATGCTCTTGAAGCTTTATTTTTAGATTTGAAAGGAGACTACCTCAAAATGAGTGTGAAAAAGGCCCTCTTTCTGCCTACCAGGCGAAAATAACGTTGTATAACTATCTACAGTATAGGCCTATATGAATGCATGTAACTAAACGAAAGTATTGTCACATTATTGAATCACTGAACTTTGTATTCCAATGACACACTGTTTACTCTTAACATACAAAGGTCTCTCTTTTGTTTACTGATTTGTAAACCCCATTGTAAGATCATCTGTCAGAGTACATTTGCCAAAACTAATGCCTTAGATAACATTATAGAAAGACTCAAATTATCAATTAGTATCTATAATTATTTCTCATATTAATGGGAAAACTGCCATAGAATGTAATGATATATTCAACGTTGCACAATGTTTGGAAATCGCGAACTTCTATTTAAAGTAAGGAAAAACTGTAGGTTTTTCTTCGCTGAATTTAGAAAATCTGCAATGTGTTCCGAATGACAAACTACATGATAAATTTTGTATTTTTTAAAGATTTTATCATATAAATTTATAATAAAAGTATATACATTTTATTACAAACTTTTTATTTAGGCTATATAAATTATTTATATTTGTATTAATATTCAGGGCTGTCGAGAGTCTCCTACTTATATAAATTAATGTTATTTTTACTAATAGAAAATAAAGTATTTAAAACTGATTTTTATTAATAAAGAAACATTCTACATATTTAATTTGTTCCAAAAAATGGTAAATGAGGTCACCCTGCTCCCGGGTCTATATAAACTCTTGACAGCCTTGACAGCCAATAGCATATATCATATGCTATCTCTATCCGATTCCGTTTCTCTAAACACAATTTGAATTTTATAAATATTGATTCGAAGTGAAAAAATAAACTTTAATTATGTTCGATCCAATTGTTCTAAAATATATATACTATATACATTTTAAACAGTTAAGTCGTATTATTTACTCAAACATTGGCATAATAGAAGCAAGTATCCATAAGGCTTGTGTTGTGGAAGGGCCCCGAAATAGAGAACCTTTCTGTCAGGGAACTTTTAGTCAGAAGCTCAAATCACTTGACTCTCAGCCTCTTAAACTTAATCTTCTTGTAGACCTCCTTACTGCATATATATTGTAATCACTGAATACTGGAATGGTCGTGGTTTCGAGTCTCATCACGTGTTTTCCGGGTTTTCTTTACGTCTAACACCTAAATAGGGACCAATTTCCCGTAGAAAGTTCTCCCAGGAAGCATCTCCCCCTTGGCAGACCGTTCACGTACTCATCCAACAAACCAAACCAAACCAAATCATATTGCTTGAGGTTCTTTAGTTTAGCCGCCTCAGTCGATTTAGCGTCACTGTTTTTCGCTTCGTAAATTGGCATTAAATCGTGAGTGGCGCTAAACCGAAGGACCTCAAGCAATAAGATTTGTGTACAGTAATTAGATCGACACACAAGTTGGACTTTGAGAGTCTGAAAGTCTCGTGATTTGTTGATATGGGTTCTCTGACTGAAGGGTTTTCTTTTCATTATTTACTTGAAAAATCAGTTCATAAATATTCGTAGGCGATTTGAGAAAATGACGCTACTCAGGAGGACGCTATATCGAGACTTTACTGTGTTGTACTTATCACTACAAATGAGCTTTTTGTAGAAATAATGATAGATTCCAATATAGTATTACTGGGATAATACTATATATAAATATCATATTCTAAGTCATCTCAGTAACACTATTGAGCCTCTTCTCGCCAGCTTACTTCTATAAAAAAGCTCATTCGTAGCGATAAGGATAATACAGTATAGTCAAATCTATTATACAGTTATAGTGGCTTTCTGAATAACCCAACCTTCCCAAAGTGCCAATGAATAATTGTAATTTAGAGTGTGGTGTTTTTATATTAATAGAAAATATTTTAAAGTGAAATGTATTAGCACATCCACTGTTTAGCATGAATGAGCACATCACATGAATTAGCACATCACAATGAATTATAATATTCTATCTTATAATATAATCGAGATGGATTGATAATGATAATAATAAGCGCAAAGCCCAAACGGTTAGGAGTTGAAAGTTGAAATTTGGTACACAGTTAGGGTACGTCATGAGAATGTACACTAAGAAGGGATTTTTCGAAATTCCCATCGCGGGGAAGGAAAGGGTTGATTATCGTTATCCCAGTGTGGTAAGTAGATATCTAAAAATTTTCTAATTAGTCTCGGAAGAGGGGGGACCTAAGTGCACTCGGTGAAAACGGGTAAGTTTGACTATAATCTAATTATCTTAATCTTTGCTATCGTTACTTTTTGTCCGAGCAACGCCGCGCTCATCTGCTAGTTATTAATTAAATATTCATATTATAAAGGGAAGATTTAAGAATAAAAGGAATTATTAATTTTAATATTTAATCTACAAAATTGTAATTATAAATCAATTTATATGTAAAATATTCAAAATAAATATATATTGTCCATTTGGGAAATAATAAATCTATTAAAAACTTTTATTAAATGTTAATTAATATCGAATGTAATTTAATGACAAGAATTAGAGCCAAATTCTTCAGAAATTTATATTTACTTTTAAATTAAATTAATAACGTCTAAATATTTACGTATAATTTTTTTCACTTGAAACACAATGACGCACCAAATTTGGCTTACTTGTTAGTATAATTTAACGAATCCTCATTTGAATTTATTTTGTATATTAGTACTTTTTTACATTATTTACTATGTTTGCAAAACATATTTCGTGTTTCCAGTAATGTTTTTGTCATTTTAACATCATAAAATTGATTCAGTTGGAAGAAGAAACGTCCAAAAATCTTAAAACAGAAAACTTGAGATCCAAAATGCTGTAACGAGACGGAAAAATGGAGAGAATGAAACGGTTGAATTGTAAGAATGTCAGTGGATCTTCCAATTTCATTCATGCTTCATTCTTCATGAAAGAAAAAGGAAAAAAATAAACATTTGTGCCAAGGATAAAGCTATTTTTATTAATTTATTCATTCCAAAATATTATTTTTGTCCTTTCCCAAAATTAATTCTTATTCACACTTTTTCTCTTATTTTCAAGATATGGAAAGAGAACGAATTTTTTTTTTTTATTTTCATTTCTTCTTCTCCCTATTGATTTTATTATTATTTTTATTATAAAATTTTAGGTTAAGACTTTCAATAAACCTTAACTATTATATAAAGTGTCATAAATTATGCAAATTTATAAACACCTATCACATTAGTTCCAAATTTCATTATTTACTTTACGTTTTCATTACGTTTAAGTCATCATTTCAGGATTTTGCTTAATTATCTTTATTTTTATTAAAACTTGTTAATTTCTTTGCTGTTATATCCCTGTAGGGTATTGAAGCTCAAAATGAAGAGGTTATGGTGAAGAATTGGGAAGAAAGAATGAGTGCCTTCAAAGAACGCGGTGAATCGAAATTGCCAAAATGGGATCCTTCCAATCCTAAAGTCAAGGAACCTCATGATGCTCGTCAAGAAATTGAGGAAGATGACCTAGAACTGGAACCTCCACCAACTTTTGGAGAACCTGAACCATCACCTCCCAGAGAAACTCATAAAGAAGAGGAGGAGGAGGAAGAAGAAGAAGAGGAGGATGAAGAGGAGGAGGAGGAGGAGGAAGAAGAAGAAGAGGAAGAAGAAGAATAAAAGTGAAGGTAAAAATAAAAATAATAACTGGAATAAATATGAATGATATACAATATATCAAATATTTTAATTAATAACATACAGTATATATATATATATAGGCCTATATATAACTTATATATATTTGATAATACATTAAGTTAACAGTGTTAATGAATTTAAGACGAGTTACGATAATGGATACTATTGACATATTGATGCCAGATAAAGTAACTTCTATACAATTTACCATTAGTTTAAGATAAAAGTTTAAAATATTTTGAAACATTTAGTTTTGTATATTGCTTAAATCATATTAAAATGTCAATTATTAAAGAATATCTCATTGATATATTTGATCACAATTAAATATTTCTCTAGTTCAGCTTTACTAAACTTTAAAGCTGAGAATAACTATTTGCAAATAATTTTCTTCATAATCTTCCTGCTTATGCAGTGAATACATAAGTGAACACACAATTTAAGGATGCAGTTTAATCTTATACATACAAATTTTATTTATTAATTACCTTAAAAATCCAAAGGCATGGAATAAAAGCAAGATTTTACAATTTTGAAAATAAAATAGACTTCTAACATTGATATACTACTCTCATCCATCAAATCATTTAAAAAATTAGCTAAAATAGAAAAAAGTGTAGCAGTAATTATATTTTGATAATGAAAAAGAACATTAAAAAATGTTCGTACATTTGCAAAATCATAAATATATAGCCTATTGACATTAAGTCCTGTCTCCTTTACATTCATTTAGGCTGTGATATCATTTAAATCATTGATATAATGATTCAGTATTAATAATAATTGAATAATTTATTAGCTTATGTTGTTTTCTCTTGCCTAAACTTATATTCATGTCAGAAATTTTACAAATGATTTATATTCTTTTAAAATGTCTTTGCTTTCGGGTATGTAAGTATTTTATTCTCTGTTCAATTAAGCACGCTCAAAATTCTACATTATTCATTTCAAGCGAAAATATAGTAAGATTCTATATTCGCTTAAAAAATAATTTTCAGAATATAAATTGTAGGCTTTGAGTAAATGTTGTTATTAATGCAACTGTAAACAATTTTTCATCGTTGTATAAAAACTAATAACATAATGATATTTTTTATAAGTTAATAATACCAACCATTACAATTGTTAAATTGTAGAAAAATTTAACTTTGTACAATTGTTACATTGTTAATTATATTTGTAGAATGGTTATCTTTCTACAGTTTCATGCTTGAGTGATGACAAAAACTAGGACATCTGAGCACTAAAAATCATATGTTATAATTTTTATAACTATTTAAGATTTTTTTAGTGCATCCTAACCTTAGTTATTTATTTATTTAATAAGTTATTAACTTGTAACTAAGGGTAGGGCGTCTAGGCACTAAAAACCATATTACTTATAAATTATCACTCATATAAGTTATATAACTTATATGATTTTTCTGGCCTTACCGATGACCCACTTATCCACCCGCTGAAAAAAGAACCAAACTAAAAGAGGAATGTTACTTCTTTCACTTTCATGCAGTTCGCATTTGTTAAAATGAATTTTCTGTCAAAAATTACAGAAGAAATTGACAAATGTAATAAAATCCAAGCTTTTAAGGTCTTCTTAACATAAAATAGTCGGATAATATTATTCTATCCGACACAACATTTGACTTATTTGTGAACAGATAAGACTATGCCAGTTGACTTAGGTATTGATTTAACTCATTCCATCTGTTGTTGTTTTAAGTCTACCTGTGACTTATCTTTCAGAAAACTTTACCATCCTCTTGGAACTTTTTCCTAACGGTACCGAACGACGTTCTGCAATGAATCAGATTAACTTACTTGCATATTGGCTTGTTACCAAGTTTTCAATTGGTCTCCACCTCATTTCAGTATTTAATTTATGTCTCTGGCTATTCGAACAAATGCAAACGAATTCTTTGCAACAGAAACAGAAATATCTGGGATTTAATTTAAATTTACAGCTTCTATACAGCTTAAAAAGATAATGATCTCTTATGTAACAAGTAACGTTTCGTAACAAAGTATTAATATATTTAACAAGTAATTAAAGTATTTCTTATAATTTTATGTCCTCAGATTTGGAATTTAGCACACTATAGTGTCAAATATATATTTTGTATTATATATAATCATAATATTAGTTTATTAATATATAGGCTAAATATAGATTTATACTTGTATAGTAAATTAATTTGTTTATATTATAACTCTGTAGAAATTTACTTGTATTTTAATCAAAATAATTTAAAAAGTTATTAATTTTAATTATTATTAATTTTTTTCAGATCGAACCGAAAAGGTTTTTGGCCAAGTCGTGCAGCGGTTTCGATTGGGTTATAACAAACCATCTCATACGCTTCTTCCGCTTCAATTATCAAATTAACAAATAAATATAATTTGCTTGTACTTTCAAAAACTGGTTTAAATAAAATTATTTCCAAATGTAAATATATGTTTCACATGTGTTTAATTAATACTTATAAATTACCAAAACATATAAACCCATAAAAATTTCTTAGGAATTAAGTCCCTCTTTTTTTTGAAGAATTTATCGTTAAGAGCGTTGGATTATGGAATTATTTTGGCAAGCACACCGAGATGTAAATAGTAGCTTGGTGTCAGAATGATTAAAGGAAAGGAGTTTAGTTCTTCTATCACGTGATCGCTGCTTTACATCAACTCTGTCGTGTAAATTAATCTAATTTTATCAAATCAATCAAGCAATTTTTAATTTATAAAATAATTTTTGGTTATATAATTGAAAAAAAATTGATGCTCGAGTAAAAATTCTCCATCGTTTTCTCAAATTTCTCATAGATTTGGAATGATTCTCCCAACATTTCTTGCTTTGTTCTGCCTTTAAATACTTTAACCCTATTTCTTTAATTAGCTTACTAAACATGTACACAGTTTCAAACAATGTCTTTTTTATTTTTTGACTCAGCTGCTTAAGACATTCTACGTTAAACCTTTTTGGTATCTTTGGTACCTTTTTTTTTTTTTTATAGTTTTAAAGCTTAAATTCTGATTTCTTACTTTTCCAAAATTACCAAAAATTTAAATAAATATTTAAGTACTTATATATATATTTTTTCTATGAAACAAATTATATTATTATTTTTTAAAATTTAGCTAGTCAGATAGATAAAATGCCAGTAATATTGATTGTACGAGTAAGAGTGAATATGAATATACTGTTAATGACAAGAATATAGAATAAAACCTCAAAAATGCACAATGTTAGATTAATAATGTATCAATTTAATTAAGAAACATAATATTACATAAATTCTTTCTATGCATAACACTTGTGCAATGTAGAATTTATTGTAGCAGGATAATATGTTTGGAAGCACATAATATAGAACTTATAGACAAAGCCAGATTTAAACTTATTCAGATCCTACACTATAATATATAAAAGGCCTTTCTTCCTCCACCGTATAGTAATAAATATAAAACCTGTACTTCACTGTACCTAAATTCTGTGATTTAACTGTAGCCTAGTATGATAAGATCCTAAATTTTATTCTGGTAAGAGATGATCCTGAATGGTAGCCTGGTATGATAGGATTCTAAGCTGAATCCTATAGTATATGTATATACATCTGGTTTCGCTTATAGAAAATATCAAAATAGTCTAAAAAATAATTTTTAGATATTTGCATATTAATAATAACAATTGAAAACCACAAATTCTCATAATATAGAAAATAAATTCGGCACTCAATTCAATATCTTTGACTGCGCTCAATATAGCAACACGAAATGTTAAATTTAAAAAGAATAAATCAATTGTTTCTTAGTTTATTTAATAAAACTTTATCAATAAAATGTACAATGAAGTATTACATTGAAAATAATATCTTATACAGATTTTTTGTATTTCGATCAATGCTATTCTAAAAATAAGTATAATCTAATAATATCAATCCGACCATTTGTATAAGAGAATAAGAGTTATGAAAAGTTTATTTAGATGACATTTTATTAATGACAAATAAAAAATAAACATTTGTAATGGAAGATAATGATTAAAATCCCGTACGTAAAGTAATAATTCAAATACGTAAAGTAATAAATACAGTAATATTTAATTCTATAATTTAAAAAAATCGAAAATCGTTGTTTTATTATTGAGGAGTTTAGAATAAATATTTTAACGTAAACTAAACGATTAACGAAAAAAAAAATTTAAACGAATAATTTGTTAGAGGAAGAAAAAAAAAGAGCATGACAATTGGATGGCGCTAGGGTCGGGGAAAGTTTAGTAACAGACGACAAAATTAAAACAGCGCATGCGTCGAAGGAACAGTCGGTAGATGTTCGTCTGCTGAAGAAATAATTGCGAGTTTCTTCTTTGGATAATGAACGAGGTCTAGTGCATTTTGGAGGTAAGTAGTTACTTAAGCACTCTTTCCACAAACGGCGATTAAAAGAAGAGATGACCGGCAACAATTATCGACCCCCTTTTAATAGTTTCTTCCCGAAAGGTCGAAAATTGTATTCGGACTGAGTCTGCGCCAAGCGACACGTGATACTGTGATATTCATCGTCAGTTTTCTTATTAAGCTTTCATTTCTGTCTTTTTATCGTGTAATGACTCGCTTACTCTACCAGTTGGTCTTCTTTTTGCCTAGATAAAGACTATTTATGACGGCACCAAGCCAGGTACTGCTCGTGTTTTCAATGCATTTTCAAACGCCTGGCATTTTTCTCTAAAAATAACGAGATAAGCTAATTTATTTTTAAGAATCTGGATAAAACCTCTTATATTTCCGTTTGGGGAAGATTGTTGTCATTTTCCTTCTACTTTCTCATTCTTCACATCAGTTAACTTTTTTTTCGCCTGTTAAACGAGTTGTTCTACTCCATTCTCCAATCATTGCTACGGTATATATTTCTATTTATTTAATAAATTATTCTAAATAATATTTATTGCAGTTTGATTAAAAGAACAAAAACAAGTTATATTTTGACATGCTGACTATCAATATATATATCTAAGATGTATATTGTACAATATATGTACAATATACATCTTATAATATATTGCTTACACTTCTTATCCAATCATAAAATATTTAATGCTGTAAATCAAGAATTGTAACTTGATAAGTGTAAAAGTACACAGTATATAATATCATTGTCAAAACTGTGTGCTTTTATTATTTAATTATTTAAATTTATATTAGATTCAATTATTTACGCGGCCGTATATCTAACAAAATGATTTGCTGAGGAATTTTAAATATCGTTTACGACGTAACGTTAGTCACAATAAATCATTTTTATTAGTCAGTGTAAAGTTTGAGTAAGCATTCGATTACAATATGAATGTGGGCTATATCGATTATGGTAACAAATGTATAAATATAGGTGGTTTGTCAGTGTTTTTATCTTCTGTAATATTAATAAAATCAATTATTTAAGAATAACACATTAATATATTAAGATTGATTTTATTTTAATACTTCATTTATTTTTTGATTGAAGTCAAGCGAATTAATCTTTTCGTTCAGGCATGGATCCAAGTAAGAGTATTAAGGGGTAATTACCCTCCAGCTAATGCTTTAAATTCTATTTGAATTAAATAAGTAACAATATATTTCTATTCAAGGTCTTGTTTGTAGAGCAATTAATCTAAGATTCTTATCTCAAACCGTTTCTGCTTGTTATTTTATAATGTTAAAGCATTATTTAGACAGACTATTTTTTGATAGTTATACCTTTTTGTTATTCGGAAAAATGTATTAAATAAAATAATAAATAATAATAATATTTTTAATGTTTATTGTCATTTTATAAAATAACTGTAGTTTTATATTCGATTCGAAATATATAAAAAGTTAAGGTTAATTCATTTAAAATTTGACTTATAATTTAAAATAGGTTTAACTATTTGTTTACAACTTAATAACTGGGATATATAGGACAGATGAATTGTCACACACAAAAATAACCCCCTCATTCTTCCTTTCTTTAGCCTAAAGGCCTATACACTTGAATGGGCTCTACTCCTACTAATAATAATACGTAAAAACAATATTTGGTTTACATCAAGCTGAGTTACAAAAAATTGAATAATCGTATATTAGAATAAATTAATATCACCGATTTAATTAATCATTTTGTAGAGTTAAGGTTTTACTCGGAGAAATTCTAAAGTCTTAACTATAATTTTAAATTTCTATTCAAATTTACTTTCATAATTCGAGTAGAAGACTAAACTTTTTTATATCGTTGAGTAGGATCTTACGCTAAAGAATTAGAAAAGCTAAAATGATAAAATTAGAATTTTGGAAACGAAACGTTGACACTGACATTGAAATTTCTTACTGTTTTATTACTTGCCTGATTTTAAAAAAGTATTACAGAATTATTAATAAAAGTTATACATTTGTAATTAAACAAGATCTTTTGTTTTAAAATATTGAATTAATTTGGTTTAAAGTAATTTTATGTAAATTTTTCTTAAGTAAAGATCTGAAAGCTTTAAATGATTTTCTTTAAAGTTAGATCTTCAAACGTTCTAATTTAATTTTGAATATTTTACACAGTGTTTAATTTTGTCTTATATTTCGGGAAGAAAAAGAAATGCAGTAACCATTTCATTTCCTATTTAGTTCTACGCATATTCTGTTGAAAGTGTAGTTGTTAAGCAAGTCTATATTGTTTATTTAGGAATAGAAGTCCCAACTAAATTCGCGTTTATCTCAGTAAATGAATTATTGATATAATTCATTTACCCTTCGTTGTAAAACGTTTAAAACTTCAATTGTAGGCTTTTTGAATGAAGAAATAATTCAGGTAACATTTATCTGTTTAAGTTCTATTTTGAGAGTTACTATTTCTCCTATATTTTTCGATAAATATCATTTTAGAAATGTAATTTTTCATATATCTATTAGTATAAAGAGTTATTTCTTGCCGATCATAGCAATTTTAATTTATTTTTGTTTGGATATAAATTATTTTATATATTGATAATTTCGAAATAAACTTATTTGTTAGTGTTAGTTTCGAAATTGAATAATGTAAATAGTTTAAAGTTTTAAAATGTAGACTGCATAATGATTAATAAACAATTTGTTTATAATATAAAGTGAAAATATTTTTGTTTCATTTTAAATAAATTGACTTACAGCCGTTGTTGGAGGTCATTTTCAATGCATTTTCGTCCAAAAAAGTTCATGAAAAAATGGCTGCTGTTTAGACATGGCCGTTGTTGGAGCTTCAATTGTACTTAAAAATATTTTCTCAATCGTATGCTGTTTGAAAGCTATTAAGTCCAATTTTAGTTTTAAAATATGCATTATTGTTTTAAATTTATAATTAAATTTTCAAATAAATTGTTATAAAAGAATTAGGTTTAAAAAAAGATATATATTACATTTCGACGAAAATAATTCATATATGATGATTCTTTCGGTTTAATTGTATATTAGCCCGCTTATTATAAAAATATATAAATTAATTTTTATGAAATAATTTATGATATTGTAAATCGGCTTCGGCTAATTTAAACAATGAATTGAAAGAATTATCTTGTTCTACTTGTGAAAGTTAGTTTAATTTTTTTACATTTTTTAATATAAATAATTTATTATTCCACTGTTTAAAATACTAATAAATTCTTCAGTAACTTTTAAAGTAAAGATAATTTTATGAAATTTCCTCTTTTCATTTCTCTATTTTATTCTAACGTGACTGTGAAAAATAAATTAACAATTGTTAAACAATAAAAAATTAATAACCATTTTCTGTGAAATTTATGTAAATTGTATTTTTTAAATTTCAACTGTTTCACATTAAAATTTAAAATTCATTTGTCAAAACTACTGCTATTCGAAGAGACAGAAGGGTTCCTAAAGGGTCCATACAAGATCAGATCATAAATACAAGAAACTGCAGAACGTATATTTTAGAAGACAAGACACAGACGACACTTGTAGAAAATGTCATATCAGGCTCGAAACTATACAACACATTACAACGGGTTGCAAGCTTTTATTGCAAACAGACTACGCACTTATATGGACATAAACGAATAGCAAATGCAATGCATCAAAAGCTTGTACACAAGCATAAACTACTAAATACCGACTTAGACGATCATAAAAAACAACACACAAAATATATTAAGACAGAGCATATAATCAAAGACAAAACGACATTACGACGGACTATACATTATATCTATTGACAAACACAACAAAATCACATATATCAAAGACACAACTATTCAAACACTCACAACATAGAAAACATATACACTGAAAAAATTAGCATATACTGTACTCAGAACGTGCCCATGAAATAAACAGAATGGATAAAGTATGTATGCCAGTAGTCCTTTCTTGTACAGGCGTCATACCATATACACTAGCCAAGAGGATAGAAACATTAGGGTTTCACAACAGTATATACATCATACTACAGAAAGCTGCCATACTAAACACAAGTCATATAAGAAATTTTTATACACAAATACATACACGAACAGCAAGTAAATAAAATAATAGCTTGTTCTATAACTGCGCCTTGACCTTGATCTGGCTTAGCATTAGGCACCAGTATGTAAACCGAGTAGTATACGTACCACATAATAATATTTACAGTATTATTGTATTTTATATAAATTTTAAAACCTAATACAAGTCCTAATACAAACCTTCATGGCATCGTTTATGAATTATTTGATGCATCTGTGATGTATGATGTATTAATGTACCCGGTATATAGCCCGATGGAATACGGCAGTGGTTGGCTTTGTTGTTATAATGTATCGGATTTTCGGAGTGTTATATATATATACCTTGCCGGGGAATATGATGGCCGGTTGAGTGCCTTATGTTAAAAAAAGAGTAAAAGATTAATAACATAGATGCATGCATCTATGATATTAATCTTTTAATCTTTTTTTCTCTAAACTTCGTATGGGTATAAAAATAAAATTATTTAATAAGAAATATAATTTTTTTATTGCTCTTATCTATTCTATTTTATACCTTTTTGTACGCAAATATATGCATGCATGTATTTAAATAGAATATTAATGTTAATAAATGTTGATGGAAAATGCAAACTTAAATGTGACTTTGTAAATTTGTCTTTTGCTGTTCGTCTACCCCTTTATTGGCCTGGACGAACCAATAGTGTGCTTGCAAAAAACAAACAAAAATATGCATACATACACTTTGTAATTTTTATGTACGATATTATATTTAAAGGTCCACAAAATAAGTGTTAATTTTTATAAGAAACTCTTTTTCAAAATCTTTTTAAAACAATTTCAATTACTGTCCGAAAGGTATGAAAATATTAAATTTTAGATTATTTTATTTACATTATTATACTAGCATAACAATCTGATAGCTGCTTCTTATAGAACATGTACTTCATCTTTCCAATTCTAAAATGAAACGAATTTCGCAAAATTCTTTAGCTATCCAGTTTATTTAAAAAAATTACTTTTTATAATTAAAGTAAAAAAAATTGATTACATTGTTATTTAATATACAAAACAATGTAAATTAAATTAAAAATTGTATTTTCCTTCTTTTTTTTACTTGATATACGCCTTTATAAAAATGTTTTAAACGTTCCTTAAGAGAAATTTCTTGAAAATTAAATTATTATATCATGAATTAGGCCTATATCATTTTAAAAATTAGAATTTGGAGATAAAAAAATTCTAAACACTTATATTTGGACATTTTAAAATTTCTCATCTATAACTTAATTACGCATTCATTCGAAAAAGTAAAATATTCATATATTTTAATATATACATAATTTATAAACCTATAAAAATATCTAAGACTTTTATATTTTTAATAAAACTGTAAAAACAAGATTTTTAATTATAAATTTTTAAATGAATTATTTTTATTATATATATAAATATTTATATATTGTTTTCTTTGCAGCATAATTTATTATTAAGACCAGTTTAAAACGCACAATCTAATATGATCCATGTCGATGAAACAGATTTTGATGATGGTAAGTTTTTTTTATCATTAATCATACTCAATTTGGATTTAAATTACAACAAACAGTAATGTTTGTGTGAAATTATATGTCTGTTAATGTTTCTGTTGTCTTAAAATATATTTATATTGATTTAGTCGCATTTGTCTCAGTACAACATACGTCAGTTGGCTTAAAATATTCTGGAATGATTAATTTGCTATGTAATTATGGTCAAATTAGATATCTTCCAATTATAAAATGATGCGATCACATTTTAAACTTAGTCTAGTTTAAAAAAAGCTGATGGAAATACCTCGTATTTTCCATTATACGTTTTAAATTATTTTGTTAATTATAAATCGGATAGATAATGTCTTATTTTGTCTTCTACACCCAAGTGGCTCTTAGTAAGCCATTTCATTATTTTCGCATTCTTGTCATGCTGCCCGTTCACAAACACATCTATAGCCGTTTTCCATTAATACTTTCACGGATTCAGTTGTTCTTAAAGCAGACAATTCCAAACATTTGTATGACCTTCAACGAAAATAAGACATGTTGTGATATTCCGATCGACGTATTAGATTACTTCCTAAACATTACAAATCTCCTATCTTTGCTGTTATCCTATTATTCTGAAATATAAACACGGCCGACCGCAATAAATTGAGGGAGAAAAGTCAAAACATGTCACTTTAATCTTTCATAAATAATCAAATTATAATTTTAATTAAAATGACATGTATTGTTGTTATTAATAATTTTAAATTAATAATTTAGAGGTAGAAATACCCTTCGAACCAAGAAATGTTGTTGTCAAAGTTGGAGAAGATGTGAAAAAAGACTATAATCTACACGAAGAACTTGGAAGGTAAGACTACTTATTAAATTTTAGGATCTTTAAATTGAATTTCTTAATCTGGTATACAGAATTATCTTCGCAACAGATAGGATATTATCGAATTTATGCATCTAGTCTAAGTAAGGAAAAGTGAAAACTTTAACTAAGCAACTCCTTCAGACTGAAGTGTTGTGGGATTGTAAAAAATGTTTAAATGATGTTTTTGGGAATGAATTTTGTCAAATTGCCAAACTAAAAGAACGAAACTATTACGTCATGAAACAACACTTCAGGTTGGCTCTTATATTAGTTCCTATATAAAAATCAACATGTTTCAAGTTATTGCCATTTCAAAAATTCTTATTTTAGAAAACAAAATTTTTAATATTCTTTAAACTTTTTCTTATTTTAAAGTTATAACAAGGAAAATGTTTTAATTCTGTTTTCACCTATTAGCGTATCATTAATACAGTGTAGTTACATTTACATTGCCAGGAGTAACGATCATTTTAGTAAAGATTAAATAAATAAATCAAATAAATGTTCATGTAGAAACATGAAATAGTTTTAATTTTTGAGTTCTTAAAATTATTACCATTGTTCAGAAACTTAGTTGACAAGAACAAAACTTCACATAAAACCACATATCGTATTTTAGAGTCAAACTTAACCTGAGCGCCTTGCAAGAGATGTTTATGTAACAACTTCTTCAAGGCAGTCTTAGTTTACTGCTTGCCATATTTGTTCTTCATGACCTAATTCCTTGTCTCCGATCCAAATGTTGCTCCTCTATGTTTACACAGTTAATTCATGCGAAAAAGTTTATGATTAAATGTGGGAATACAAACCAAAAAGATACGTTTTGTGCGAAAATTGCGGTATTTAAAAAATAAATATCCATATTACCATTTAAAGACTTTTTATAATAATTTTTATAATAATTTATTTACTTTTCGTGTTTTATTATCGTGTATTATTTTCGCAGGTAGATTTATGTCATCAATAATTTTTAAAATTATTTTCAGAGGTAAATTTGGAACCGTATATAAATGTTCAGAAAAGGCTTCAGGAAAAATTTTTGCTGCCAAATTCATTATAACTCCCCGGAAAGATGATCGAAAAGATGTGTTGAGAGAGGTGGAGATTATGAGATGTCTGCAACATCCTCGTCTCTTACAACTTTATGATGCGTACGATGATGGAAAGAAGGAGATGTGTCTAATATTAGAACTGTGAATAATTTTTCCAATTCTTTATTCTTAGATATGTTACAAAACATAATTTATAATTATAAAACTGAATCATATCCACTTGATACTAATAAATATATTTTTATTAATTGAAAACAATTATGATCTTTTTATGAATATGCACCTAAGTTCTTAGGATAGATTACCATCAAAATTAATCGAAGTTAAATCAAAATAAAAATGGAAGAATAAATGAAATTTAACTTTTAAATTTACTTCTATACATCTTGTAAATTTCTAAAATTTAAACTTTCAAACTGATAATGTAAAATTATCTTCTTGATGCAGCCTATTTAAAGGCTTACAAAGTGTATTAATGTATGAATACGTAGGAGTTAAAATTTATTTTATATTCCAGCATAACCGGAGGAGAACTGTTTGAAAGAGTTATTGATGATGATTTTATCTTGACCGAAAAAGCATGTACTATATTTATGAGACAGATATGTGATGGTGTTTTATATATGCATTCGAGAAACATCTTGCACTTGGATATGAAGGTAAACTTTTTCATATACAGTTTTAATATCATTATATGTGGCCTAACATTTCTTTTTTCAGCCAGAGAATGTGCTTTGTTTAACAAGAACTGGTAACAGAATTAAGCTGATTGATTTTGGCTTAGCTAGAAAATTAGAACCCGGTAAGAAATTGCAAGTGTTGTTCGGTACTCCCGAATTTGTGGCCCCAGAAGTAATTAGTTTTGATCGTGTATCCTATCAGACGGATATGTGGAGTGTCGGTGTTATTTGTTATGTTCTGTAAGTCTTTTTTGTTAATCCCGTAAATCTATCATTTATGATCGAAGAGCAACTTTTTCTTTTTCAGTCTTTCTGGTCTATCCCCATTTATGGGTGATAATGATGCAGAAACTATGGCCAATGTCACAAGAGCTGTTTATGATTTCGATGATGAAAGTTTTGACAAAATTTCAGATGAAGCCAAAGACTTTATTGAAAAGTTATTAGTCAAAGAGCTAGAGTAAGTCGAATAAAATTATGGAAACAAATATATCTTTATTGATTAAAATTAACGAAATTCCATGTGACTTGTAATAACAATTCATAGTAAACAACTTTCCAAATTATGAAAAGTTGTTTACTATAAATACGCATATTTATTTTGCTAATAATTATTTTTTTTTATTTACAGAGAAAGATTAACAGCGGCTCAATGTTTAGAACATCCGTGGCTGAGGGCAAGTTTCTATTTTATTACTCAAATAAATTTGAAAAACTTTTAAAATTTTTTTGAATGATTTTAAATTTTATTTAAAGCATTATTATGTTAAAATGATTTTCAAAAAGATTAGACTAAATATTTATATTTTTTATGAAACTATTTCGAACTGTAGAGAGATAAGAAAAAAGAAGAGAAGACTTTAGACAAAAAGAAATTGAGGAGGTTCGTCATAAGAAGAAGATGGCAGGTAAGTAGAATAAAGACCTGTAATAATTATGTTTCAGGTGTTACAATGATAAAGTACAAACGTTATTATTTAAATTTAAAATGTAGAAAGCCGTCAATGCACTTTTGGCTCTGAAGAGGATGGGAGCAGTTATTTAATCATAATAATAATAAATGTAAGTATGCTAGAGTTTTTGTTTCTGGTAATTTCGCTTGGGATCAAATCAGAAGTAAATTAATAATTTAAAACTTTTCAAAATAAAAAATAGGCATTTTTATATCGATTTATAAGAATGTACAACGTGCGTCTACTAAATACGGGGACTGAATTTATAAAAAGTTTTTTGCAGAAATGATTCAATTTAGTACCAGTATTTAAAATAAACACTACCGTGACATATATACATTTTTTACACGCTATAGTAATTTACATATGCCCTCATGAAAAGATCTTTTTGAAGTGCTGTTTAATTCCTTCCGTATAACCTCTTGGATTTCCAAAATTGACTGAAATTGTCTCTTTCAAAGCAAATTTTAATTTGGGGAAAAGAAAGTGGTCAGGCTGTTGGGAACTCCTGTTCTCAAATTAAAATTTGCTTTGAAACGGAGACAATTTCAGTCAATTATAGAAATCCGAGAGGCTAAACGTAAGGAACTAGACAACACTCCAAAAAGATCCTTACGTGAAGGCATAGGTAAGTAGAGCGTGCAAAAATTTGTACAGGTTACAGAGGAGTTTATTTTGAAGACTGATACTAAATTGCCAAAAACTATTCTACAAATTCAGTACCCGAACATAGTGACTTACTGTTAGAAAACGCACCTTGTAAAATAAGTCAAGAAACATTTCGAATAATTTATACAATAACATTAAATTATCGAATAAGAAGCGTTTTAATGTTTAAATTAAAAAAAAACTTTTCAAAACGTTGGTAATAAAAATATAACATTGTGTTCAAAGTCAGATGAGGAAAATATATCAAGATAATTTAAAATGAAATAAATATAGTACAGTTGTCCCTTGATAATCCGACAGGTAAGGGACCAAAGGTGTGTCAGATTACCAAAAGTGTCCGGATTACCGAAAATAATTACATATTTCGCATTGTTTTGCTAGCAGTAACTTACAATATTCTCTACTCCAACTGTTCGAACAGAACTGCTCACATAAAACACACGAAATGTGTGTCATCGAGTAAGAATTGGATGGGGAGATTCACATCGCGACATGCTTCTGTGCAAGCAGACACGT